ACGGACATTTCAAATTCGTCAAGATCAGGCGTTTGCTTCTAAATATTCTAACTATATATTAAAAGCTTTTTATGTAACTAAATTTAGTACAGTATTAATGTTTGGTGTCAAACAATGTACGTGTTTATCTCCTAACGCCGGTTTGTTTGTGTATGATTAATACGTTTGGTTGACCTTTTTCGTTCTTTATTTTTTTATATCGTGGCAGAAATTCACTTGTTACGGGAAAAAATCTTTCCCTAACTGGGGTGTTCAGGGATATGTGTATCCCCCTTCACATTAATAATTTCAGTTCGCATGAATATTTGCTGTGGGTTGTTAGGAGAGGTTTGGAGTTATGATTTTTGGTTGTGTTCTGCATTATGTCGTACGTTTTGTAATTATTTAAAATAATGAGGGGTTTACAACCTTTTTTTTTTCCTGCTATCAGTCTAAGAAAAGTAATTCGATTACTGTTGGTTTATTTATTTATATTTTTGAAATGTTGAGCCCAAGTAAGGTAGGTGTCCAAAGTAATACTCAGAAATTTGACGTAAGAGCATAATTTTATTTCATGGTTGCCTAATTTTCCCCGAAAGAGTGCCATAGGCCGCCTGGAGGGGTCACCTGTTTTAACCACTCCCACCACTATACAGTAGTGTATTGTCTGTCAGACAGTATACACTAAAATGACGTCACACAAGGGATGCTTAACATTGCAATTTGTACTGTCGTGATGCCAGTAAAACGTGCGTATGCACGAGACGAATTATGCACTCTGTAGTCTACAACACAGCATAACATATGAACTTCAAAAGCAAGAAATAAAAATATTTGTTACTCTTGAAACAGCACACTTTCAGGGACCCTGCGGAGTGCATCTAATTTTAGTCTTTTTAATATTTTTTTAAAGGTGATGCCGTGAGTTTTGATTGGGTTAGGTAGTAAGCGCCAATCATTACCCCAGTTGATAATTACGTATAGAGATTTTTGAACGGATTACGTGATACGCTCTGAACAACATCATTAGCATATTGTGAAAAATGTGTATATGTCAGTTCGGTAAATGGTTTGTTGATCACAAGCAGAATATAAATGAGTGGTGAAAGGACTGGACCTTGTGAAACACCTGCTGTGATGTTGAAAGATTTTGACAAAGTGTTATTTATTTTTGTTACAGCCGATCAGTTTTTAAAAACAAGAGGGACTGCTCAATAGCCGCGGCACTTGAAATTCTTTTAGGCAGGATTAGAGTAAATTTATCTATGACCTTTTTTTTTCCTTTTTATTAGCTATATTTTTGTGCGCCAGCAATACCAAACGTGGGGAGCGCGTATACCGATTCGATTTGATTACTCATCAGGATCTCTGCCAGCCTACCCTCATATTGAATTGAGTCAATTAATCTATGAGACTTTGGGCGTGGTTAAATACATCAATCAAAAGGGTTTGACCCCATGAGTCCAAAACTGTAATTAGATGAACGAACTATGAGTTAAAAGTTCGTACTTGAAAGAAAGAAAAAAACAAACTCAGAGCCATTCTATTGGCCGCTATGCCGCGGCTAAAAATTGAGATCCATTTGATTATTATATTGTTTACAATACAGCTAAAGTTACTTGGTTATTGTTAAAGGATTTGTAGACTGGTTATGTGATCTGTGGTTTATTGTTTACAATACAACTAAAGTTACTTGGTTATTGTTAAAGGATTTGTAGACTGATTATGTGATCTGTGGTTTATTGTTTACAATACAGCTAAAGTCACTTGGTTATTGTTAAAGGATTTGTAGACTGGTTATGTGATCTGTGGTTTATTGTTTACAATACAGCTAAAGTTACTTGGTTATTGTTAAAGGATTTGTAGACTGATTATGTGATCTGTGGTTTGTCTCCCTTTGCGAGAAGAACTTTGGGTGTTCAGGAGAAGGTTGTTGTTTTCGAGAAAAAAAAGTAATCGGATTGATACAATCCATTCTAGGCGTTTGTCCAAGCAACTTAGAAGACTGAATCGTCTGAAATTATCGGTTTAGGAGCTGTTGGACGCGATTTTAGGGACGATTGTAATGATTATAATGTTGTTGTTTTTTCTCATGAGTCTGGGTAATATCCTGTTCATAGTAATAAGTTCATAATGTGAAGTGAATTAGTAGTTCGTTTTTTGGTGATTTTGCTGTTAAATATGTCAGTGCTATCTGTGAATGAAATGTCATCAGTGTTAGTTAGCCGGAAATTGTCGGTTGTATAAGTTTGGCCTCATGGAAATGCTGTTTTCAACATTTTGTTTGAGGGGTTTAAAGGAAAGAGAATTGATGTCAGCAAGTAGTTTGGCTTTATCGATGCCAGTTTTGGTAATTGTGTTATTATATTTAATGTGGTGAAACAAGTTGTTATCAGACGAGAGTGATCTGAATTTTTTCCAGAATTCTCTTAGTTGATTTTAATAATGGCTGGAGACGGCTTGAATGGGTAATGAAGAAAAACTTTAATATAACAGCAAATGTACAACGTTTCGACAAGGTTTTGTCATCATCAGGTACAAGTAATTTACACGGATATATATATATATATATATATATATATATATACAGTATTGAACAAAGAAGTCACATGACCGGAACTGTTGTGAAACTTAGAAGAGGTACCCATTCAAGCCGTCTCCAGCCATTACTAGTCTCAAAGTGGGTTCCTTGTCATCGAATTTTAGTTGATTTTGCTTGTCTAATGAATTTCAAAAGTGTGATCAGTTGTTATTTTTATATATTTTGATATTTCTTTTTCGTGCGTAAGCGTCCAGTAGTGGAATGTAGAGTCTCCACAGAAGGAGGGAACTATTGTTTGTGTAGCCTTGAAAATGGCTTTAGTAATATCGCTTTCATAAGTCATGATGATTAGTGTGAGGAAGCGTGTTGGTTGGATTGTTGAAAGTTTTCCAGTCAGCCTGGTGTAGTTAGATACTGGTGGTAAAGTTAATCCAGGTGTCTTGTCTGTTGATTTGTATTATAAAGGATATTGGTAAGTGATCGCTAAACACGGCAGGGTGTACCAGGAAGTTCCGGGTGATGTTGTTATGTGTTGTGGCTTTGTGAAGCTACAGCTGCATAAGTGTTTTTGTGGGGTGTGTTCAGAGGACGTCCCGTTGTTGATGGCAGTGAAAATGAAGGATTGTGTGGTGGTGTGAGTTCGTGTATTCATTCTGTTTGTAGCTGGTACGGGAAAGGGGTTAACTAGTGCGGGTTGTTGCATGACTGAAAAATTAGGGTGTTGTTTATGGAGCAGTGGAGCACATTTGTGCTGAGGAAGGTAAGTGAGAGTGGGTGAATGAAGGTGCTGAGGGGAATGTTTTTGATGTTGTGTAATTGGTAGTGTTTAACCTGCCGCGTTCCTGAAGCTTGAGGCAGAATCTGTAACTTCCAGCGCGTGCGCCCTAAATATTAGTATATCTAACCTCCTCGCATTGATTGAGACAATTTTCGACTTCGTGAGGCCCGGGGCATCTGATACACCGCGGGTTTACGGTGCAGTTAGGTTTAGAGTACCCAAACTTCTGACATTTGAAGTACTGCATCACTGACTTATTCTCTTTTTTGGAGATAGACCTAGTGCTACCAGCTCATCGTGGATTTCTTGATGTTCAGTATTTAGTGTGTGAAGCTGGTAGGTGTATGTACGGTGATGTTACCTCCAAGGAAAGTGTCTAGCCATTAGACTTGCAGGTGTTCATAGTTCTTGGGTTCAACACCAGGTGTCCTTTTGGTAAACGTCTGATTTCTTTTAATTTCAAGTTGGGGAATACCTTAAGTAATTCAGAGGCATTTTGGGGTTGTTGTAGGGTGTTTCGGACTCTCTCGATATCGACGGCAGGTATATGTGGCTTACTAGCGGTAGAGGTGGATTGTGTTGTTAGTGTTCTGTCGAGAAACTGAGAGCTCTTGCTTGTAAATTCTACCACCTGTGATTTTCAGTCTTAAAAAATAAACTCGTGTTCAAAATCATTTTAAAAGCGTCTTTGTACAGAATCTTACCTAATTCTATGTGTGTATCCCGGTTGGCTAGCGGTAAATTTACGGAAACACAACGTAAAATCCTGGGTTCGATTCCCCACAGTGGACAGAAGGCAGGTAGCTTATTGTGTAGCTCTTAGCTGAAATAACAATTCTGTGTGTTCCGTGCTGGGTGTTGTCACACTTGTGAATATGTGAGAAGGTAATGAAGTTAAAGCGATTCTAATTCTTTCTTTTTAAGTTATATACATGTGTGATGACTACCGTGATATTTTGTGAGAATTAATATTAAATTTGAGCATTGTTAATATTAAAATAATGTGACTCGTGCAATGTACTTTGTTATAACTAATAATCATTTCACAGAATACGCTCTAAACTGTAGCACACACATATATATATATATATATATATATATATATATATATACACACTAAGTTAACGTTTAGGTTTGGTTAGGTTTACG